GGAAACTTCAAACAAGCAGTTTCGTACAACTTTCATAATTACCACGGTTTCCATGGTAAATGTCAACAAAATAAAGATAATTACTTACCTTCTCTACAAAATAAACCTCCATTACGTATAATTAGTCACCCTGAACTATGTCAGGTCTTGTTTGTGATCCATTAAGAGTTAATTGTAGAAATAGATTAAGGACAAAAGTGAGGTGTTTTTTATTGGCCATAGTGGACTTCATTTGCCAAAGAGGGCCGTATTCGGTCTTCAATTGGTTTTGAATTTTCACTTGCTAATGTGAAATTTGACCACTAGTTATAACTAGAAGTCGCAAATATCCAAATTTGGATTGTAAGTATCAACGGCATAAGTATTCAAGAAATCCACCACAGAATAGGTAGGTAGGTACTATTCAAACCAATTTGTTATAATCTGCCGCCACAACTGCCTGGCCTTGAGATTTAACATATTCGTACAACAAACCCGATTAATGGGGAATGTTCCTCCTGACGAAAATCAAGTAGTTTTCATAAAAGAACTCTAAAACAACGCATTTTAAACTTCATCATTTCAACCTTTTTCTTTAAAAAATTATTTAAATACTTAAAAAAGAAGAATGCAATAATGCATTCAACATTCAAAGGGATTCGTTTTTATTTCAACATCGGTTATAGCCAATAAAGGACAATGAATCTGCTACCTGTATGAGACAAACAAAGATGACATATTTCAGAGGCGTGCTGTTCTGTTTACTTATTTTCCGAGTTCCGAGACATTCTGTGACATATGAAATTTTGAGCACCTAACCTATCTTCCTCTATATAAATAAATAACAAAACAACTGTTGTTTATGTGGTTTGTGGAGGTGGTATTGAACTATAATTTATAGTTTGCTTTAATTGTTGATTTATAAAGATAATTTTCCTTTTTTAAAGTAGAATATCTAGGTACGTATAAATTATCTCAACTTAATATAGACGCTGTTGCCAATATGTGAATTAGAAACAAATCCCTTTAAAGATTAAACCCCAACATTTGAAACATCAATTTGAATACTTTTCGAAGTTAATTTGAAAAACTCATGAATTAAACTCAACTTTATTTTGTTCAAACTTGCATTTACTGTAATAACCCGAATTGAGGAACTTTCCCCATTGTAATCTTTTCGGCGGTGTGACTCAACTTTGCAATTTTCGATGTACACGACTACGACTATCAATCGATTCTGTTCTTCGTTCTGTTTCCCTGCAAAACGAGTTTTGATACGCAGAGGCGAGTTGTCACTCTTTCTGCTAACAGAAATATCTAAACATGCAACGAGCTTTTGAATGACAATTCGCCTTTCTTCTTTCAATCTTGGTGCGAGATGTTGGAGGATGCCCCTCTCTTTAATCCATTATAACATTTTAGCGTTACTCCGCAACAGACGTTGCGGAAACAGACATCCACCCACTGGTTTCAAAGATGGACTTCACGATGATCTGTAGTATTGATACTGATTGTCTTTTGAACAGCTTCAATACCTGAAGTATAAATCGTATCTTACTGAAGATATTTCAGGTAGATATTACTGCAGTTATTAGTTGAAAATTTTACTACAAATATTCTGTTTTCATTTTCAATTCCCTTAGTTGGTTTTAAGGATTTCGCGGCCGAGATTTCAAGTGTTACTATTATTTTCATTCGGATCTGAAGGCCGTCATAGTTTGGAACTGTATCTTAACGTTTCACCAACACGAGTGGCGAGTGGAGGTTTATTCATCCTGGTGATATACCGATGATTGGTGATTTCTAGTCCGTAGGTTGTGTTTATGTTTACTCAGGTAGTCCGCCTCTCTTGTTGATGTGTTGGTATTGACCGAAGTGTTATTACCTGTTAATGATGTATATATTCCCGCCGTACCTGTTGTTAGCGAGTAATTATTGGTTACGGTTACTTATTAATGAGTAACCTGTCGTCTCTAAGAACCGTAACATTGCATTGCGCTGTTGCTACTTTACCCCGGCCGTACACGGAACACATATTTGCAATTGAGGCAACCACAACATTGTGGCTACGTTGACTGCACTTCGCGGTTGACCTAAACACATTTTTGTGGTCGACTTGCGGTCATATAAACCGCGCTTGCAGTTGAGTCAACTGACATCTATATTTTGTGGTGTCAAAGTTTAGTGCCAGTTTCAAAATGGATTTCGAAGAAGCACTACTACTTATTTTGAGGAGAAGGAGAAGACGTAGAAAAGTACGATCGCTTTGCGGTCGGATCGACCACACAATTGCAGTGGCGTTCCAGCGAACTCAAGCCACCCATAAGAAATACTGTACTACAAATACACGGGCGTTTACAAAAGTCAAAACGGGCGTCTGCAGTCAACTTGCTGCTGATCACTAACCACAAACTTGCAGTTGTACCCAACCGCGTACACCGTCGTGTACTTTTTTATTTCAAAATTCTAATTAGTTCATCAAAAGAACTAATGGACATTCTGAAATAATTAAAAATTTTTTTTTTCGTCATGCCGGAGTTTACCGGTTGTTGCTTGTACGTTATTTCATTGTGATTTCAGTTTTTTGCTTAATAAAATTGTTTTTTCAGCTAATCTCTTTAATTTCTTCACAGATTCTTTCAGGGATTTTAATCAATTTCATATTAGACAATGGAGGTCCAAACTGATGAAATGCACCATGAAACATTGTCAACCACCTTCAAAAAATATATAAAAATTTCTTTCTTGTTGTCACGCAACCAGAAGTGGATGTACCCAAAACGATCGTACCTTCCTACGTCTTCTCCTTCTCCTCAAAATAAGAAGTAGTAGTGCTTCTTCTTCGAAATCCATATTAAAACTGGCACTAAGTTTAGTGCCAATTTGATGTCATCGCGGCATCCGCCGTACACTAACCATAAACTTGCAGTCGTACCCAACCGCGTACATATTGGTCTCACAGCATTCAATTTTTGATGTCAGTTGCCTCAACTACAAGTGCGGTTTATATGACCGCAAGTCGACCACAAAAATGTGGTTGGGTCAACCGCGAAGTGCAGTCAACGTGGCCACAATGTTGTGGTTGCCTCAACTGCAAATATATGATCCGTGTACGGCCGGACTTAGCATCTTTGAGTATGGGATTCCAAATCCTCTTAAGCTTTACCGCCTTCTCTTTTCTGTTGTAGTTCTCCGTTTAGGGCTTCCCGTACAACTGACTATGGTATTCATGATCGGGGGCAAGTAGTTTCACATCTTCGAACAGTACCGTTTGATCTCCTTCACTCAGCGCGTGTTCCGCTACTGCCGATTTGTCTATTTGACCTAATCTACAGTTTCTCCGATGTTCATTCAGCCTTGTACCCACGGATCTTTTGGTGTTACCGATAAAAACTATTCCGCAGTTGCATGGAATACAACCTACGGAGAAGAAATCACCAGTCATCGGTGAATCTTCAAGATGAATAAACCTCTGAAGAAGCCAGCTACTCGTGCTGGCGAAACGTTAGGATGCAGTTCCAAACCAAGACGGACTTCAAACCCGAATGAAAATAGTTACACTGATTTCCTAAGTTATAATTAATCAAAAAATGCATTGGAACGAATGCCAAATCAACCTCTCCGCTGAATTTAGAAAAAAAAATGTTTGATTATACCCTATTTTTTACAAAATAGAGTGAATAGGAAAAAGTGTTTCTTCAGAAGCAGTTTTACGAGCCTAAAAACCAACAGACCATTCCTAAGAAACTCGAAATTGAATGATTTATCAGACACCGGTCGTGAAACCCTTCACACCATAGGTAATTATTTTTACCACAATTTTACTTTTGTTGGCCTGTATCCCCAGCAACTTTTGAATATTACTGAAAGTAATAACAAGATCTGATGACAAGGTAAATATTACTTGTGGGTTAGGCCTTCCTCTGATAATGCGGGACTCTGCCAGAGGAGACCAACTCTTTCCTTGCCACTCGTGGGAACACACATATATGAAACAAACAAAACAGACACAACAAAAACCAATCCCGAGGCTGGACAGAAGTGCTCACCTCAATCTATGGTGGTGGATGGGGATGAACAGAAATGTCCAGCCCAATCTACCGATAGGAATGAGGCTGGACATAGCAGATCACCTCGTGATATAATACAAAGGCGGCGCCTAGGCCAAAAGGAGAAAGAAAGCGAGAGGCAGGAGTGGCAGCAACTATAAGTGCACCCTTCTCCTCCCCAACTTCACCTCCAACAGCAATGGCACTTCATACGGCGGGCGCCAAGATCGCCGCTTTGAATAAAGGCAAGGAACCGGCTGCTCTTGCAGGAAAGCGCCCTCACTTGTGTACCTCCACCAGGGGAACCCCAGGAAGGTTGATGAAGCCGCGCAACGACAGTAATGTCGCTGCACCTTCCAAAACCTTCGCGGAGGCCGCCGTGAGAAAACCTCATCAAGGTTGCCAAAGAGAGTGTGTGTTCGGCGAGTCTTGGCCTACACCTGCCGATATAAAGGAGATGTTTCCTAGTGACCTGTCCACCTTCCTGGAAAGGACAGGATGGACGATGGCCTAGGAGAACAACTCCTCGGGAGGATGTACAATGGGTCACATGTGGCCTAAGTGCTGTAGGTATATACTCAACTCACCCTACTATATACATAAATACATACAAGGTAAATATCACAAACAACTGTGGTATTCTGTAACATCGTAGCTGTAACATTGTCTCTCCTATAGATACCTTCACGGAAGAGTTCGCATGACTTAATAATTTCTCCGAGAACTGTGATGTTAGAAGTACATCTACGAACTAAAGGTACCCGGCACAAACGTCGACTAAATACAAGTGGTAAAAATACATAGAACGTTTTATTTCTCATTTTTCATGAATTTATACATTTCAATTTACCTAATTTGCACATGTTTTGTCAATAATATGTATTCTTCTGACAATGAAATGTATTTATTATAATTAGCATTATTAACTTATGTTATTTACTATTCACTCTAATTCGAACCATTTTGTTACAGTTACCTAACCCATCGACACAACACCCGATCGACGGGATCCTTCTCGTTCCAGAACGCTTTCTTCTACCTCCAGTGGAGCGACGACGATTCAGTATTTGACTTCGAAGATCCGGTGTCTGCTAATCTGGTAACGCTGAAAAAAACACGCCGAAGAAGCAAATTGCACCCCCACAAACAACGCTCAAAATACATATGTCGGCCCGAGCTGACTGTCGAGGCAGGCAATCATTTCGTGTGGGAGTTCATCCCCGGACACGGGACTCTAAACGTCCCGTCGGACGCCGCCATTTTGCACCACTACAGAATTTGCGAGTTCGGTGGTGACGATTGCATCAAAACGTCTTCGGTCGTCGATAAGACTGCTTACCGTTACAAATATGTTTTAACCGCTGCTGTGAGACAACAATATGAAAGATTGAAGCAAAAATGTAATTTGGCAGAACTGAGTGTGCCAACAGGGAAAGTGTTCAACAAGCTCATGAGTTTGTTGAAGCCGAGTTTGGAAAGATAATGAGATTGAATCAGTATTACATTACAGTTGTATATATTTTTGTACATAAATTAATTGGGATCCGTTGATTTATTATAGGGTAAGAAAAATGAACAGTTTTTTATTTTCTTACTCAATCCACCACCTGACGTCCTTCAGTTATTCAATGTTGGAATCCTAGAAGAGCTACACAGAGGGTCTTATGTCTCGAGGAGAAAGTCTAGTATTGTGACACTCTATATAATATAGCTATATGAAACATAAATAGTATAATAGTAAGAAGTATAATAGTAAGTATAATAGCATTTAATTGCAAAATAACCCAACCTAACCTAACCTTTCTACCCAATCTAACCTTAAAATACCCTTAATACTTACATCTTGGTAGGAAATAAATGATTATAGTTTATTACAATATTTATGAAAAATCGTTTTTATTTATAATATTTCACTTTTAAATCAATAGCAACACGTCTATATAGTTTTGATAAGGGGTCAGCTATATATTAATATAGTGTGTCACAATACTAGACTTTACCCTGTCTCGATTATATCTCATCAAAATCGTGAAAAACAAACTGGAAAGCCTATAAGTCAAACCTGGAAATTTGCGCAAGGTTATGATAAAGGAGTCCCCGACAAATTCAAAGCCGGAACCACCCAAAGTCTACCAATAATACAGAAATTCAAGATATAAGAGACTCGGGTAATAAAAGAATTGAAGAATTCAGAAATGTACAACTATTAGAAAATAACGCGATTTTAATACCAATCTATTTAAATTTCAACAAAGAAACATTTTTTATGGTTTTTAGTTTCTACAAATAGGTATAGACTTCTCAGAAAATATCTCTTCTGTTTCATAAACAAAAAGTTTCTGGAACTTTTTTTGCAACTGCTAATAATGATTACTATTATTCAACAAAACTACTCGCCTAGTAGATAGAAAACAAGTCCAAGTGACTGCTTCACCAAAAGATCATTTAACAACATTTTAACCAAACAAATGCGATGTTTTTAAAATGCTTCATTGAGGCTGTGTAAATTCGTCATCTGCGCCTATATGCGACATTGCCGATAAGAAAATCAACAAACTCTATCAAAAATGTCATTCAAACCCCATGTTGCAAATGTTACTTTGAAAACTCTAAAAATGTTAGGTTTCACTCTTAGATCTGCAGAGGAATCATCTTTATCTTCCTTAAAAATCATATACTGTTCAGGTGTTAGATCAATAATCGCATACAACTCCGCAATTTGGTACCACTCATATTGATATGATATGCCTGAAAGTGTTTGAAACAAGTTTTTAAAGTAGTCTGCATATAAACAGGGATATCATATTGGTGAATTTATTATTATTATATTGGTCATTCTAACTTGAATACTCTGGCTAATAGATAAGTCAGATCTTTCACGGATTCACAAAATAATCAATGGTAGCATCAATTTCCCCGGAATTTTTTGAACTTGAAACTTTGAATGTGAATCCAACGAGAACAAGAAACACGGAAATCTTCAAAGTACCCTTTCATCATACCAACTAGGGCCATAATAAGACTATACGTAGAATGTTGAGACACACTTACGTTGACTTAGAACTTTTTGATTCTTCTTTAAAAGCATTCAAAAAGACTGAAAGGATTGTAATTTGTTATTGTCCCTACATCCAACTGATAGTTATAGATTATTGTTGCAGTACATATGTGTGAATTTGTTAATTATTTTGTAAAAATAGGCAAAGCCATAAATAAATCAATAAGTAAATAAATAAATGACTAATTATGAAGAGTGGATGATAAATAGTCATTTCATTTTGTGAATATTGTATTTCATGGGGTTGATAGTTAATAAATAAAAATGGGAATTTCGTGATTTTTTTTCTCAGAGAATTAACAGCATTCCGAAATTTAGATTTTTTTGTGACATTTTCTTCAACTTTAGATAAGAGAAAAGATGGGATGAATATGAGATAAATTTCCACAATTCATTAATTCATACTGAAATCAATGAATATAAAATATTAATGAAGAAATCAAGTTTCATCAATATATTTATTTATTAAATACTCTGAAATAAACATGAGTTGGTGGTTATACAAAGAATCTAATATATCACTTTCCAATAAGTCTATTAAGCATTCACCAATTACAACCCAGACATTAACAATCAGATAAAGAACTCAGTATACATTATTAACACGGAAGTTCACGACAAGTAGTTTCACAACACAAAAAGTTTTGTCATGAAAACAAAGCTTATCTTGAAAAAAATTCATGCTAGCGCCAAAAAGTTGTTGAAACTCTTTTTTTGTCAGTTGTCATAGTTTACAGTAGTCATGAGTCCTCCATACTCTTCAATTAAAAATGAAAATGTTGGGTCAATATTATTAAAAGTAAGCAATATTCTGAAAGTCAGTGTGAGACAGCAACTGCAAAGGGTCATCAGGTATCTATGTTAGAGTGCATATAGAAAAATTGCAATGATGTAATCGATAATTATACTTGTGCCAATTCATCACGTGAAGTCAGAATGTGATTTTTTCAACTTTATTTGCTGATTCTTCACCGCCCAGTGTACATTATATCCGAAAAATTATCTGCAATAATATCTTCAAAAAAAACTTTCGAGTTAAATTATACAGATTACAATTAAGTTACCTAAATTCTACCTATCTGCTTTCAAATAAAAAAAATATTTTCAGCAAAACTCATATCAAAACTTTTGAAAATCTCGAGTGAGCACTATTAGTTTATAGCTACCATTTAAAATTCAGCAAAGTTCATGACAAAACCAAAGTATGACAATGAAACTCCACTACATCTTCTCAAACCACGGAAACAGACACACAAAACGAATTCTGAACCGCATTCCACTCCACAATGTATTTACAATAGATACATTTAATTGAAAAATATTCAAATGATTGAAAATGAAAAAATTATTTCAGATACACCACCGAATATCTCAACATTTCAATTGATACTAAATCATTGTAAATTATTTTAAATTATCATACATTTTGTTCCATAAACCAGCATCCCGGATACATATAAATTCAACACTAAAAACTAATAAATTACACAGTCAGTTCCTAACATCTACGTTGCTGAGTCAACAAGTTAAGATAATCGATAGCAAAGACGAATTTACTTGGAGAAAAATATGCAATCTAAAACCACCAAACAACTAACCTTATGTAGTTCTTTGAAAAACTGTTCAAAATAAATAAATTGGTGGTGTTAAATTCTCTACTCGAATCAGTTGTAGAATTTTATATAGAACGAATGGCAAGATCAGAAAGAGAGACGAGAAACGGATTGCAATAAATATTTACGACAGGTTAAATTTTTCTCCAAATAAAATCTCTTCCTTTGATGAAGTGAGAGAAATATTCCATTTCAAGAACAGTGAACAATGCTGAATGAACACATCTGAATGTATTGAAAGTCACTTCTAAAAAATTTAGAAAGCGAAGAAATATTTTGGAGAAATTTTGTGTTTTCAATTTAATTTTGATATATATCTAATCGAAATTTTGAAGGAGCAGCAGTGCAAGAAAAATATGTTCCTTCCAACAGTGTAAAAAAACAAAAGATGTTGCCTGCAACTCTCTAAACACGAAACCCTCCGTGAATGTCCGTCGTGAAGGACCGTCATTAGTCTTCTTTGATTAGTTTTCCAACAGTCACGTATATCCTGCAGATAATCTGTTGTAAAACACAAATTTTTGCAAAGTTACATATTACAGGGCAAGATTGTGACACAGTTTTATGCTAAACATTCTGGAGTTACTGCAATTACGGAAATGGAAATATTTCATCAGCTTATGTCTCAGGTCTGATTGGTAGAAATATGTTTCAATTAAATAACGACAAATGTAACTAATAAACTGCAACGCACTCATAAGGAATATGAGAATAATCAAGCAGGAATATAGGTTAAGATATGAGATATTCATCTATCACCTATTTTTATGTTAAATATTAAAAGGTACTCTGTAAATACGATTATTGAATGAGATCTGTAGCATATATGAGGCCTTGCTTCTGAAGCAATGTTAACCTTTTTTCGACGGCTTCTTTATCTGGAAAAAAAATCAAACATGCATTAATTTTGCACAAAACTATTTTCATATGAATATTGAATTACACGAAAGGAACAAATAATTTCCAAACAAATACCTTCATATGACCATTGAATTATACATGAAAAACTTTTGTCCATTCAGTTTGTGGTCCAAAGATTCGTTAAAGAATTTAGTGTTTGACCGAAAGTTCGGTTTCGGTCGAGTTTCGGCAAAAAAACGAGTTTTGGTTTAGTTTCGATTTCGGCGGCAAACCTGCCGAAACTACGACCGGAACCGAAACTGCATTCGGGAGTTCTCGCGCTGTGATCGGTCATGTTCGGCGCGTTGAATTTCATACAAGCGACGAAGACATTTTGCCGCGTCCACGTGCCTAATCATGTAGTGACTCGGTGCAATTGATATTTTTTAATTAATAAGGATTATGTGGATTATCAATGAGTAAAAATGTCGAAGACTATATAACGTTGTGATTTAAAGATAAAAAAAAACTGACTGATTGTAATTTTCGGTCGTAAAAACCAGTTTCGCTCGGACACTAATAGAATTGAAACATATATCATCCATAGGAATGCTACACAATGTAATATATGAAATAAAATTTAACTTACATGGCAAACTATAATCATCAATTATATAGTTTCAAGTATCGGAATAAGAGACTTGTAATATTTTCGAAAACGATGGCGATGAGGTGATTAGATAAGACAAAGCACTAAATTCTTTCATAAAAATACGACTTTATATAACCGAAAGACACAAATCTACTCTCGTCAAGATTACAGTATGTATGTAATAATCTTATGAAGTAACAAGAGCATATTTGTCTTTTTCGGTGACATAAAGTCATAACATACAATGAGTGCTTCATCAGCATAACGGTACTGATGTTTCTTGTCCCAAAACTTCGAAGTACACTATTGAGGATGATATTATTCTATGTAAGTAACATTTTATATCAACTTTTTCATTAATTACATATTGTAATAGTGATATCTGGTTCAATTCTACAGCGAATATTTGGAGTACAGAGTGATTTCGAGGTAATTCAATGTTCACATAAAAGTAGTTGGTTCGAAAGGGGTATTTCTTTTAGTTTGTATGTGAAACACACTTCTGTGTGTACCCAACATATATTTTTCTTTAATGCTGGAGAAGTAGAAAACCGAAAGTTTTTTATTCCTAAAAATATTTCACCTTTTCTAATTTTGAATTACTGTTGAAATTGATGACAAGTTCAGGATACAGAAAATTGACACACAATTCACCTCAATCAAACTAAAAATGTTTCCCCAGAGAATTATTTTAATCAACCTTTCTTAGGCTTCAGCCATTTCATTCCTCAAAAATTTTAGAAGTTAACATGCAATTGTTATTAAAAGTTAAAAGAAAGTACCATTTACAAATAATTTGTAAAAAGTTGATGATACGTGACATGAAGAATAGTGCGTTAGGAGATGCAGAACCTGGGCTTACATTATTGAAATATTAGTTTTGGATTTTCAGAATATCACAAAACATATTGTAAATAGAAAAAAAAGGATCCTTTTAACAAAGTTCCTCAAACACCAAGCGGTTCCGCAACTATCAAGCAAGATACAAAATAGTAGAAATACACAAATGCTCTCAGAAAATTTTTTAGTTTTGACTATACGGGTAGAATTAGTTCAAAGAAAGCGATATCTAGAGGTATTTGTTACAATCATAAGCATCAATGTAAAAAAATCTGGATATTCCAGATCAAACCTGAAGATATAAGGAACATCACAGAATTTCATATATTCCTCAACTTTTTCCTGACTCTTTTAGAAATTAATTCCATGACAATTCAAATAAGAGTTCAAGGCCAGTAAAATCTTTCCTACCTCTCCTATATTATTGAAAAGGTGAATGGATCTCCATCCTCAGATAAGTCAGTGATATGATTTCTGTTGTCTAGTTCTGTATTAATTATAGCAAACAAATGAATTCAATAAAAAGTGATATATTGACTGAGATTACTGGAAAAACTATTCAGCAGAATAGGAAAGACCTCACAAACTATTCTGAATTAAAAAGTTTGCAAAATATTTATGGAATCAATATTTGCATTTTCTAATCAAGTGAAACCAACTCCGTAATCATGTTTCAACCACCGTATTCGACAGATTTAGCCCCCTGCGACTTTTTCCTAATCCCCAGATTGAAGAGACCCATGAAAGAACGGTGTTTTGCGACGATTGAGTATATGAAAACAGAATCGCTGAAAAAGCTGAAGGACATACCAAAAAGTGCATATCAAAACTGCTTCATAGATTGAGAAAAACGCTGGCACAAGTGTATTATCATAAACTACACCTTATGATTCGATCTTTTTGATCTGAAAATGAAGTTTATGCAGATCAAATCGTAAGATGTAGTTTATGTATGAAGTTACTATGAATCTTCATCAAGTAACATCCGATTCGATCAGAAAAAAAAACAAGTGTATTATATCTAAGGGGGATTACTTTGAGGGGGACAAAATAGAAATTGATGAATAAATGAATATTTTCGAGATAAATTGAAATTCACCAAATTTTTTGAACAGACAGCGTATATTCACTGTATACTTACATTTCAGAAGTATCATTTTATCCCGTTGGTTCTGAGTCTGCTGAGAAAGACTGTGCAACAAAATCTGAGCAGTTTGATACCTCGTGAAGCATTCCTCAGGTTTCTTGAAAAGCTCGTCTAAAGCTGCCGACTGACACTGAAATAATAGAAACGTTAAATAGGTGAAGCATGAACATCCAAAGTAAGGTACCATATGTATCGCATGCTGATACAAAATCTTATCAACTGTGGCAGTATTCGTTCCAACTTTGTTCAACAGTCCTGTAGAGTTGAGCTGTTTACATTCCTGTAGGGCTATCCGGAACTTTGTATTCATTGCTGATACAACTGAAACAAATAAACAAGTTGGCACAGTAATCGAGTTAACACGTGTTTCACTATTCATTAGCTTCTTCAGGCTTGCTATTGAAGAAGGTAATGTATAGTGCGACATAATGCGGTTCTGTAAACTGTTAATTGAAAATCTCATGAGAAAGTGTTACCTGAATACATTACTGTAAATGTTCAAATGTTGATTTTCAATTTGTTTTGTGTGAAAATAAATTCAATTAAATAAGGCAGCATTGGAATAAAGTGACTGGGCAAAGATAAGCTAAAAATTTACCAAACAATCGTCAAAAATGCTGAAAGTATCTGGTTGAATAAGAACATGAAAAGTTACCAATCACTGTTAGCTGAGGTACACATGAGTGGAAGATCTGATAATAACAGCAAGAAGCTCTGATCAGTAGACTCAAGTTCTTGAAAGAGGTAGCTCCCTTGAAGCCCCTAAATGATAAGAAAGTAACAGATAGAACCTAACAGCTGAATTTTCCTTACCATTTTTTACGTTTGTAGTTGGCCTCAAGTGTTGAGCTTTCAACTGTTCAGATGCCAGGGCCAATCCTGAGCTGAGAAGCTGCAGGGCCCTCACCATCAAAACTAGCTGTTCCGTCTTTCGTGTTGTCTCATCCATTGGTTGATTTTGTTGTAAATGATCCACCAAAGCAGACAAAGGCGTCGACCTTTCAGCTGCCAATTCCAAAACGCAATTACTCAGAGCATATACAAAGTTAATTTTTGCCAAAATGTCGTTGTGTTCTTTCTGAAAGAAAAATTAAAAAATGTTTTTCACAGATACAGTAATAGATAAATGTCTATTGGAAAACATTATAGAAAGCTTTACACCAGTGGCGGATCCAGCCAGTGGCGCTCCATTGGACGCATAAAATGTTTAACTATGGGTCTGAGCCAGTCCTACAGTCTTACCCATTACCAAACCGCAACCAATGACCAGATTCCTGTACGAGTCCTCCTAACTCGTTTAATTAAGAAACTATCGCTGAAAATCCTAATTTTTAATTATTCATAGTAAAAAAATTATCTAAAGTGCACTCTCCCCTCAATAAATTCCAAGATCCCCTCCTGCTTGACAGGGATGATGACTTATCACTTGTAGAAGTGTCTCCTTGTTGAGTGATACATTTATTACAGGGTTAACACTGTCCCTCTTTTCTTTGAGGCTGAATGGCATTACTAAAAACTTGAGACTATGTAGTTTGTGGTTATGATCACTAGAAATGCTGAGTGCAAGATGAAAGCAATCATTCACATAAGAGCTTTCATAAACTGAATGCAAATGTCGACTGTTTTGTCTCCATAAACGTTAAAATGAAATGGACCCAGTTATTTACCTCATTAGTCGGCGTTCGGGAACATTTTGAGGTAATGCTATTGGACTGGCAGTTGTCTTATCAAATCCGTAATAATTAATTAATATCCGCCAATAGTGACCTAAGCTTTATTGCCATTCACTAGTTTAGTTTTAGTTCCGTTCACTAACTTCAAACTACGACCTTTTTCAAGAAATAAAAATTGACATCAAACATTCCAGAACCTAAACTAGTACAACGTGCTTTGAAAATTGTTTTTTGTTTGCATTCAATTCTGGATAATTCATTGCAACTACACACTGTTGAAGGAATACCTGTGTGATCATTCTTCAATGTTTATAAAATTCTTTCTTTCTGAGATTTGAATTAAAATAAGAAGTTTCTGTGAAACTTTTCTATAAATATATGAAATTTCACATATTTTTGTTTTTATAATCACCCAAATAATTGTGTACGCCACTGTCGAGGGAGGGGAAGTCGCAGTCTATCGTAGGTCCCCTCTTTCTCCGTAACCCATGCGCCCTCGATCTAGCGACTTTAACACAATATATGTCATAGATATTGGTTTGCCGAGTCCATTTATTTTTTTACATCCATATTTTTCACTTATAGAAAAAAAAAGTGTTTTATTGAGTTGGGTATTGATACCACAAGTGTAACATGTAACAATACTGTACCTCCAATAATGTCTCTTCTGATAAGTTTGAAGGTCTGAAAGTGATAGGAAGCTTATCGTTAGATGTTTCTTCAAAGAAAGTTTGATAATTTTCCATTTCGGATATTTCGGGTAGTGTCTCGGCACGTGTTCCAAATACCGGGGATCTTCTCGTGTTATTGTTATCACTCAAATTAGGACTGCTGAGAATGGAAACTCTGGCAAGTGGACCGCAGACTTGAGGTGAAGTGTCTAAAGATTCTGCGAACAATGAAAAACTGATTGATGAAAACTGTAATTACAATTTTCCAAAACAAAATAGACTGATATCAACTACTGTGCACCAGTTGTCTATTGTAAAAATAAATAAAAGAAATCAGTATATAATAAAATCAATGAATCAACATTATGTATCATTCAATAACACTTCATAGTTTCATAACAAAAATTAATATGTTTTGTGGTGCATTTCATAAGTTTAGACTTCCATTGTCTAATATTTTATAAATGTTTTGCTTAATATAATGGTTATTTCTCAGTTAATCTTTTTTAATTTTTTACAAATTCTTTCAGGGATTTCAAATCAATTTATATCATATTAGACAATGGAAGTCCGAATTATTGAAATGGAATAATCGATATCATGAAAATATCAGAATTTTTCAAAAAACTGAAAATAATACAGTTCTTGATTTTATTTCCTCTGTTTTAGAATCGTGATTTTTCACTTGATAAAAAAAAGATGTATTGAGAATGGGCGGAACAAAAAAAATCCATTCGCTCATTGATTACAAAATATCTCAACTATTATTTAAAAGATATCTGTATTCACTTCGACGAGGACTACCTCGTGATTTTTAAATTTTGTTTTTTTTTACTGGCTTACTGAAAGATTATCAGCAATATATGTTTGAAAAACCTCAATTTTTTTATTAATTCATGTAAAAGATCTGCAATAAAAAAAATAGAATAGAACTTAGCGAATCGCCTTGCAGTACACCACAGTGACATCAAAAGGTTTAGTGTAACCCTCTGTTGATTTTAAGCTTCTCGAAACAGTCATATTTTTCTCCATATGTTCGAAAAAAAAAACCCGAACTGACGATACCTACAGTGTATATAGAGCTTCGCCAAAGAGAAGCAAGATTAATTGAGTCGAAACCTCTCTTGAAGTCAAAGTTTTTCGTCAAAAACATTGTTGATATAACCTCGGTTTTTGCAAAATCCTGGATGACATTCAGGTAGGATTTAGTGTTCTTCTACCCATAGAATCAGTCTATTGAAGAGAATATGAGGAAATAATTTTGCTGGGCAATGGAGAAGTGTCATTTTGTTATTATTCTATATTCAAATAAACTATATTTAACTAAACTCAAAAATCAGCAGAAAGTTTTTTGAAATCTATCGATAAATAACTGAGAAATGGATAATTGAAGTTTACGTATTTTAACGCATAACAACTTTGATTTCTAACTCGCTACTGACGTCATTGGACCCAGCTAAGACCGTTGAATGAAATAAATTATTCTAAACCTCAAAGTGGTTTTCACGCACATATTTAGTGTTTGTAAGTCCAATTAGGTTACGCCTTATCAATTTGTACCACTTCTTTCTTTCATTTATGTTTCTTGGTTCATGGTGTAACATCCTTACTATTCATATGTACGGATATTGTTACACCTGACTTTTTTCTTGGCTTGTGTCAAAAATTGATTTCATATACCTGGCTTCAGTTACCCCTCAACAAAGGCAAACTGAATACACCTCAATCAAATCTTCTTTTGATGCATTCCAAATAAATTTTTTATAAGTCAAAATTGTTACACAAACTAGCTAACCAATAAAATGATTTATGAATAACAGATATTTGAAATTTTGAAGTGGCCTTAGTGATATAATATTTCTACCTACCTGACCGTTTCAATGCGGAGTTTGAAAGATTGGAAGTTGACGTCGGTGACACATTCCAAATGTTTGGAGGAGGAGGAGTACTACCAAGACTTCCACCTGAAATCGATCTTCTCCTTCCAAAAGGTGGAGTACCCATAGCATACTGGATCTGAAATATATTTTACTTATTAACTTCCTCGATGATCTTCTTATTTGATAACTTTATCTTGTACAAACTCAAATACTTTGAATTGAACAAAAAAGATTACTTACAGGTGGTGGTGACATAGAACTAACATCGATGTCGATACTGTGGCGTTCATGTCTCTTTTTCATAGTAATTGGCTGTGATCTTGGAATGCTTCCATTAGCAGAAACCTAAATGTTCAATATAACAATTTAATATCAAATAATCATTCAATATTTTAAAAAATGACCCACTAATGAACGTAACGTTACAAAAAAAATTCAATAACAGTCTAACATTAGAATGTGTTAAAAAATTGGTAGGTACATTAAACATTATTCCGTTTTGGTTATCTAAGGATTATTGATGAAAAATTCTTGGATATCAGAAAAATATTACTCGAATATATGTTTCTGTGAAATAGTTTTCAAATCTTTTTAAGATTATTTCGGTAATATCTTTCATCGTTTATTATGGGGTTTTCAACCGCATCTATGTTTCATCACTTCAATTTGTATTCAAATTATACTATATGTTACAAGTTACTGAGTTCTTTGTCCAAATGAACAGAAACAATAAAATATCAAGTGATCACAGCCGTTTTCAAAACACTCGAAAGTTTTTTTTATGACGCCTATGAATTCCTCTTTTTTTATTGTATTTTTTGTTTATTTTGTTAGCTACTTCGTTCACTCATTTAGTTAATCTGAATTTTGTTGCTGAAGTTAATATATAATTTTTAGTGTGATAAGTAGCAAATACATTGCAACATCAACATAAAGCTATATCACCTAACATTGTTACTTATCATAACTTTACTGTAAAATTCTCTTAAACTACATAACATACATTAAAGATCAAAGTTGCACTCTATAAGAGTAACATATGAAATATAAAGTAACTGTTTTGTGTAGGTTATGAATGCTTAGTTTAAATCTACTAAAACACTTCAATCATACCTTCGATTTAGATGTTTCCTCCTTTTCTTGTTTTTCTACTTTACCGTGCAACCTGATAAAAGTTTCACGCTGGCTGGGAACCGGTATAGGGTCTGATATATGCAAAAAGCTTGGCCTTGTTGGGCTAGCAACTGGAGCACATAACAGGGGGGGTGTTCGGACCGGTAACCTAAATCTTACAAAGAAAATATTCATTTTCAAAATCAAGACATTTCCCCAGTTTCTGGCTAAAAGTCAATGAGAATATAAAATTTGAATCAACTCATAAATGTATAAACATGTGAATGAAATAAAACTATTATTGTTGTAGAAACAATATAGGTATCAAACAGAAGAAAGGAAATAAATATATTTCAATAATAGTCCTAAATAAAACCCAAAAGTCCAAAAGAAGGGGCCTAAGAAAAAACCCTAGGAAACCCTCCTTCCCACAGTTGATTTCTCAATCTATTTATTATTCATTAATACTGTTCCATGACTGTTTTCTAAATGGGAACAGATTAAATTATCGGTTATTGACAGATTGAGTTTTTCTAGGAGCTTGGTATGACTTATGCAGTTAAAGCCTTCTAAAGATCTATGAAAATTGTGAAGAAATACTCTTTATTTTCAAATGCTTCATGAATTTCATTTATGAGGGTCATGAGGGTCATTTCCATAATAAATCTTTCTAATATTTTTAAAACACTCAGTAAGGCGATAATTTTCTGGAAAAGTAGTATCTACTTTTGTAGATAGAACCTTGGCTGTTATGAATAAATTTTTGAAAAGTTCGATCAAATCAGTTGTTTATTATTTCAGTTGTTCAATGGAAATTTATTTCATATATATTGTGGGTTAGTTTAGATTTAATATTTGTGATAACTTTGGTTGTATGTAATTATAGATGTGACCCTTCATTATCAAATTCCTAACTTTTTAATGATGAGCACGAGCCAGTGGTAATGTTATCGACAATATCCGAAGAATAATTAGCAAAGTAGTGATTAAATAGATTGAGGTTTGAATCATAAGTTTTCTGCTTTCTATCTCTATCAACCTCACAACTGACTATTTTCCAATGATTCATTTGGTTCATTTTTTTTTGGGCCGCGGACGCATAGTCCATAATAGCAAAAAAACTATTTTTTTCCCTCAATTTCAATCTTCTTTCCTAAACAAGGGATGGGGTTATTTGGTTCATAATACTGTTTCCTCAAATTTCTTTTTATACAGAAAATATTAGGTCAGTATCACTTTCAAACGCGTATATAAGAATTTCAGGACAAATTTTTGACATATCAGTAATACAAGTGGTTTTGAAAGTAGTCTGTATTAGATTGAAGTGTGAAAGTAGAGTCTACACACAATCCGAACAGCTAAACAAAAGACTAATGTACCGGGTGTGATAAATTTACTAGTTAATATTATATAAAACCTACCAAATAAAAATAATTATTAGGCCTCGTGAACCATACCACGCCGCCCATGCCATACAAATAAACTGTCGACGTTCGGTAACTATTCAGTTTTTATGCCATTCGAATCGACTTCGTATCATATATATAAAAATGGATGTTTGTTGGTTGGTTGGTAAGTGATAAACTTCTACATCGCTCAACTGATCGTGATGAAACTTGACATGTATAAGTAATTTTTCATAGAGAAGGTTTTAAGGCTATCAATGCTTCTGTAACTCGCCACTAGATGGCGCTGTAGAACAATTTTTTGAAAGCACTGTTCTATAACGCTTCGCACGCCTAAGTTCGTTGATTCTGATTCTGTCAAAACATTGGAACAGCAGCAATACAGCAACATAGTACTAGTAGACTATAAATTTATGAACTGATTACACTTGTCAGGATCTAGAAACTTGATACTGAAGTAACTACAGAATTTTTTTGTCCTATATGAATCTTTGGACTGATATAAAATAAAGTAAAATTGAGAATTGAGTACTTCCTACAATCCAGGCCTGGATTATTTGGGTTGTTACAACTCATTTTCACTACTTGGATTTCTAGACTTTTGTTCAAAAGATGGTAACATGATTTCAGTTATCAGGCTAGGTTAACTTGTAACTATATTAGTTCATAATCGCTTTGTCTATAAATTAATTATAATAAGTATATTTTGTACTGCAATAATGCCATGTTACAATAATCAAATAAGTAAATAATATAAAATGACCAGGCATTATACTTTCAGATATACAATAATTTTATGACAATCTAGCTAATGTACTCTACAATTTAACCTCATCCTTGATGGCTAAATCTGATTTTTCATGGGCTATAGATTATAAAATAAATTTTCACGTATTCAAAAAACATTTTATAGGGAGATTTTCACCAAACAATTTTACAAAAACGCAACATATGTTTCGCCATAAAATGGCTTCTTCGGGCTTTTCTTTACTGTAAAGATATTCGAGGATTGAGTTCTCTATTGATCCTGCAGTTGGAATATTCCTAAAGGAAAATGTCATCGCATTTACTAATGATGAATTTATTAGGATTTTTACTCTCTTATTTTCAAGGTACTTGTTTAGATGAAAGGTTCTTCAAAAATTATAGTAATTAGGCAATCAAGAAGAATATTCATAATTCTAACTTTGGAGAAAGTCTTTATTCTTTTGAAGTGGTGTCAGCGAATAGTTGAGAAACACTCAAACGGGGGATGTTTAACAATACCAAGAAACGACAGACCAATAAACATAGAAGGCACGTTCTCTATGAAAACAAATTACTGAGCAATCAATAATAACATTATAGTACAGCAACTCTTAGTAAACAGAGACATAGTGGTTCAATGACAGTTTTTTCGTTTCGGGTAACTTTAATTTGTTGCAATGTTAGATATGTCTGCAAACTTACTGTTTCTCTTTTTCTGCTCTTTCCGTACTACTCTCTCGCGAAGGTTCCACATAGGTCGGGATGTTTGAGGGAACTATAACATAATCATCTTCAGTGCTTGAACTCAGCGCGTTTCTTGTAGATCGAGGTGATTCTACGAGCAATAAGCAAGAAGACAGTTAGTATCAAGATTTAGAACAACACTGACCTCTCGTACGATTCAATTTTTTTCCATAGCCCGGTGAAGTACATTTTGGATCGTACCAGAGGCCTAATTTGTCGTTCAGTTTTTTAAGCGTCTCAAGAAATCCTGAAAAGAAATGGAAAATTAAATATGTGCAATGATTTCATACTGTTAACAGGCCAGTAGGATTTCTTGATCGTTAAATTGGTAAGAGAAAAGCGTATCACTGTGAATTTCAGGAGAGGATATACGATAGAAAATGTATACATACCTATATTTTGCTACAACTTTCAATATCAATTTTTCATTGTAGAACAATGGGATTTGGTGCTATTTATACAGGGTGATTCAAAAGTACTATGACAAACTTCAGGAGGTGATTCCTCACAATATTCTAATATGAATTGTCCAAATAAATAGATGTCCGGAAACGCTTCGTTTCCAAGATACAGGATGTTGAAGTTTTATTTTTATTTTCGTTTTTTTCAAATAACTTTTGAAATACTGAACTTAATTAATTTGTAATGTTGTATATCTAAAATGAAAAAACTAAAACCTCATCAAAATTCTCGGATCAAAATATTGTTTTATTGTTCCTCTTATCTTTTTCAGGTGTCTGTTCAATAAAACTCTCTTGTATTAATAGTGTAGTGTATGTTCTGCTAAGTACCACTGCTTCAAAATGTTGAAAAAACAAATATATCTTTAGAATTGACTTGAGAATTCAATGGACATAATGTCATCATTCGAAAGACATTAAAAAAGCATCTCTTTTAGAATCAAGCATCTGAAGCTTAACCTCATTATAAAAATTAATCAATACAATAAACTGTATTAATTAGTTTTTTAATATAGATTTAGTATCAGACAGTTCTATTCAATTCTTAACCTTATTGTTTATGTAACCATTACCTTACTCTTTTATACTGTTTCTGTTTCACAATTCCAAATGTTCATATTTTAAATGTATTATAATTGAAAATTCTTTCTTTCTGAGATTTGAATTAAAATAAGAAGTTTCTGTGAAACGTTTCTATAAATATATGAAATTTCACATATTTTTGTTTTTATAATCACCCAAATAATTGTGTACGCCACTGTCGTTGAATTTTTGAGCATCCAAAACATCGATTTGATGAGTCATCCGTCGTATAGTCCAGACTTGGCACCGAATGACTTCTTTTTATTCCCACACGTAAAAAACAAACTGAGAGGTCAACGTTTCTCGACACCTGAAGAAGCGGTTGCTGCATTCAGAATGCATGTTTTGGAGATACCTCAACCACAATGGCAAAAGTGCTTCGACAATTGGTTCAAACGCATGCAAAAGTGTATAGATCTTCATGGGAAATATTTTGAAAAACAAAGTGATTTTCGATGAATAATATTTGTTTTTGTTCTCTAATCCCGAAATATAAAAGGCAACCCTCCTATATGTCTCCTACATTTACTTCAATGAATATTATATGACAATAAGGCTACTACTCCACAAAATTTTGTCAAAAAAATATTTATCTATATCCTTTCCTTAGTAAACAAAACAATAATTTCATGTTCACAATACCACACCTCAAATGTTAAAATATATTAAGAGTAGTGGTGATGGTGGTAGAAATTAATTTTAGAGAAGCAGGCCTGAGATACTAATAAAAACCAGAAACAGGACATTTCACAAGTAATATGGGATGTAAATTCCACAACACAGGATTTTCTTCAGTTTTGATTATTCATACTAGAGACACTTTCAGTAGTATGCAATGGCCAGAACTTCTGGATGATACTGAGGAAAGAATCTTAAAAAACCTTATATTTCAATGATCTTCTTTCCGATGAATCTGACCCTTATATATATCAAATAATCATAAATAATTAAAGTATGGATTGGATTGAAACAAAATGTATCATTCCTCAAAATAAAGTTTATCAAGTAGTTGAATGTAAAATATATTTTAATCCATCACGTAAATTAAAAACCCTATGGTGAATATACTAGAATGTTGGTCATTATCAACGATTTGGTATATGATCAGATCCAGAAGAGAATAAGTAAATTTGTTCTCGATGAATAACAGGCGATAACTGTGAACTAGAGGATTCCTGACAATGCCACATGTCTTAATTTTATGTTTTTTTTTCTTACCAGTGACGCTTCACAACGGTGAAATTTGGAATTTGATGGATTCCTGAATTTTACATTTTAATTTTTATTTGTGACTCATTGTGTTTAAATATATGCGATAAAATTTCTCTTCCATTCATTTTTGTATACAATTTAGTAAAATGTCAATGAAAATTGTTTTTCCTGCCAATATATTATATTTGAAATATTTTTGGGAAAGAAAGTTTTTGGCTTTCTACTACTCCATCTCGATACAAAAAAAAATGAGGGAATCTTCCAAAGAAACGAAGGAAGAAATCAATTTGAAAATAAGCAACTCTATACATGAATGTGTAGATCATGCAAAGAAGTAACTTTCAGTCACAAACTGAAATAAAGTCCTCCTGAAACAGCTACTTTCATATTAACATTGTTCAGTGTTCATATAGAAGTATTTGTTTCGAAATAATTTTTTTTCTTTTGTGTAATTCAATGTTTATATGAAAGTAGCTGTTTCAGGGGGACTTTCTTTCAGTTTGTGTCTGAAAGTTACTTCTTTGCATGATCTACACATCCATGTATAGAGTTACTTATTTTCAAATTGATTATTTCCTTTCTTTCTTTGGAAGATTCCCTCATCTTTTTTTGTATCGTGATGGAGTAGTAGAAAGCCAAAAACTTTCTTTCCCAAAAATTAATCACTCCTAAAAATATAACCCCTTCAATTCAAATTTGAAATATATTCATTAATAATATTTGGTAAGACAGTAATCGTTTTGTTGGCGTGAGAGGTTCATTCTACTCATTGAGACAACCGCTATGTGGAACGGTAGTTCGAGCCGTACGGCCGGACGATTTTAACTGCATATTATCCAAACCATGCTAGGAATAAAAGGCGAGACCTAGGTAATCCTTAGCTTGTGTACAAGTTTCGTCTTCTGAGGGTTGTCGTTCGTAGGAGAACGACAGCTGGTTAACAGAAAAACAGATTTCTTAACAGACAATTCAATTATAAATGCAAAGCAAATCTAATTTTATAATTGAATTCAAAATATTACCTCTTGATGTCGAAACATGTTCCTCAACTGAAAAACTAACTTTTGAAATAAACCAATAAAAATTTGATTTTGGAAGCCTACCAATATTCAGGGAAAGCATAATTATTCATTATGATCTATATTTTGTCTTTTGTTGCTTTGACTCAACTTATAAAAACCACACAAGTTTCAGAGAGAGAGGGAGAGAGAGAGACGTCGATGAAGTCTCTGTCAGCCATCTGAGATATGGGTTCAGTGACTTAAATCAAATTATAATTTGTCGAGACATAAATGAAAATTCTTCCCGACAATACAAAGTTAGATGCGAATTTGGTAAATAATTTATGGAAGTCGAAGTAAATAATATTTAGCAGCAGATATCACTAAGTGAAGTCCCAGAATCGAACAATGTTTGAAATCTTGATAACCAGGTAAAGATCGAAGCTGCACCCAGTAAATCACAAGTGTAAATAAAAATCCTTATGATGCACTGTTTGGAACCTTTGGTGTAGTAATGAATATTACTGGAGTTTTTCCCAACACCAAATCGTTATTTTTAACACCTCGACATGTGTTTCGATCACCAAGTGATCGTCTTCAAAGAGGAAGATTAAAACTGTTTTAATCTTCCTCTTTGAAGATGTAACTGTTCAAAATGTAGTTTTCACAGCCTGTGGTTTTATGGAGGGCATACGCATGTTTTATTTTTTCCAAGAGAAACTGAAATATTTCGTGAACGGTTGATTTTTTATATAAGGAATCGTAAGAGAAAATGATTAAGAAAAAAATCGCCATTTCATATAAAATAAAACAACTTTATAATTTAAAAATGAGTATGGCAAAATCCCATATTACAAGTGAAGTGTCCCTGGAGTGCTTTTAACATAAATAATAATAATAACTCAAGTGTGTTATCCAAAAATCAAAATGAACTGATAGCCGAATTTAACTTATGGGGTTCATTTTACAAAATTATCTTAAATATCGTGTAGGTAGCCTTACGAAAATTTCAGGGCTTCAAAATTTTATATTTTGCTGTAACTTTTTGGGGTGAACTTTTCAGTTTCAGTTGGGTTAGAAACCCAAAAAATGTCGAGGAACATCAACTCCTTCACAAAACATAGTGTCATTCAAATATGTTTTCCATGTTTTAATATGTTCCCAGTATTTGAAACTTCATTTGTAATTATTTTATCTACCGAATTCCATAGGTTAAATCCTACTATTAATTATAATGAAATTCAACCTCTTCTTGGATAAGTCACCTAGGTTAATATTTGTATAAGCAAAAATAGTTTACGAGGTCAAGATGAATGTAATACATACAAGTTATTGATATCACACAGAAATGATGAATGGTAAATATATAAGGCATATAAGCATATAAATGTTAAAATTTGTTATGAGAAATGGTTGAAATTAAAAATAGGTACAAGAAATAAAATCAAAAATCGATATAGAATTAAAACGATTAAAGTAATTGAAAATAATAAAGGAAAATCCAACTTTGTGAGTAAATTATATACACTCTAAACACCAAAAATCAAGTTAAAGCTGAAAAAGAAAATAAAACATTATTAGGGCTTAGTATTTTAAATCAAATGTCAGGATGTAACAGATGGTAACTACACCATTCACAAAAAAATTGCCGATATCGTTCAGACAAAAGCAGGTGGGATTCCTTAGCATCCTGTCAATAAATACTCCAGTAATAAAGGTAGTGAAATCACTACTCATTTTTCAACTTTTCGAGTTTATTGAAGCATCAATGACAGAAATTGTTACTCCAACATCACAAATGCTTTTATTGAAATAATGATAACAGTACAATTCTATAATAGTAAGCACTAAATGTTAGAAATATCATTGCATTAAAACGAAAACATTGTCAAGATTGTAATTCTATATATTTTATCATCACTGTAAAAGACAGATTAAGGCAAAAACGTCAGTCATTTCTGAGAATTTAGTGCCTACTATTTTGGAATTATAGTATAGCACTAATCAAAAATAATAAATTCTTGGTGCGTGTTACTCTTTAGAGAAAATATCATGAGATCATCAAATGGTAAATTTAAAACTGATTTTTGGTATTTTTTACATGAAAAATGATCCGAATCACCTACTCATCTTTTCATAACAGATCAAATCAAGTTACCAAAAAAGTATCATTGTTTCCAAATTATGATACCAAAAATATACATAAATTCATGAAAACTAACTCAAGTTCATGAAAATGGAATCAATACTACCGTAGTATTGTTATCAATTGTTCTTTACACACATTAGTAACTACTACTTTCATTAATTTATGAAAAAATATAGGAACATCCTGAAGAACGCACTTGTTCAATCATTTTCCTAAATATAAAACATCGAGAATTTATTTATATAAGCGATTATTCAGCTTCTAACTGAAAGAAATTGCTCACCCAGGTAAGGCTAGAAACACTAACACACTTACATATTTCAGATAATTTTCTCATTCGTCAACATTAATATTCAGAATCTTCATATACATTCTTGTTGTGTTATTGAATTAAATGATTTATGATTATTGTAATTTTTGGACTGAACATTTTTTAATTTTTCCAGCTATTTCTTTTCTCAACAACGGGCAATTGGGCAACTACCCTATTATGTTTATTGTAAAAGTTTTCTATCTGAATTCATTGGCAATGCTTCCAAATTTGAATCTACAGATGAAATAAATGAAAGTTGTACATTCATTCATTTGTTCTGATTTAGTGGGTAATAAATTGACAGGTATACATAGAAGTTCAAGTTCAACTATTTTATGAGTGTGATGGGCCATTACTTTTACTACCTATTACCATTTTCAAAGCTTAAGGGACAAAGCCAACATGCCAATTGAAACGTACATTATGTTTTCCTTACCTGGTTGAGATCTTGTGGGGGTATTAGCTTTAACAGGTGTTGAAGATCTAGGTGTTGCTCTCACCGCAGTATTAGATACATACACCGGTGGAAGCGGTAGTTCTAAAATAGAATACCGAGTTACAGTATAACAAACAGTACCAAACACAATTTCTATTATATGAAACAGATGAAAATGTGGAATTGAACAAAGCTATTGCTGCAATTTTCTCACTTTTTTTAAACATTAATATTTCAACTTTCGCTTAGTAAAAATGTTGAATAGATGTGATACAGATTCAAGTATCTTTATTTCACTTCGACTTTCGATATCTTCTTTCTCTCTATTCCATGGTTATTAGGGATACTTCCATTTTCCTTACACAAATGCTTTCTCTCCAATATGGATAATATTTCAAGCTAATTTTCCATTTAGGATAATTGGTTCGTACTTGAATCCCTTCTACTTTGTTTTCATTTCCATCTTTGATTTATCTCCATTTCATATTTCCAACTTTTTTCTCTTTAACCCATTGTCACGTTAGATCCAATATGTTAAGATTACTCATTCCATTCAATAAGAGTATCTTTTTTCAACTGAAAATATCCACATTATCCATGGTGCCGATATACAGGGTGGCTCAAAATGGACACATTCAAAATAATTTTTTCAATAGGAGATCTCAAGACCCTATCAGAATCACTCTCATATATTTTTTGCGATTTTTTGTGGTTTTCGAGTTATGCATTTTTCAATGGTTTCATGAGAATATTGGGCCGGACCCACTTGAATATTTTTTTATTTTTCGTTACATGATCTTTATGAATTATTTTTTCAGTGTATAAAATAATTAGCTCTCTGCAATTTCGGTAAGGTACGGAAACTTAAATATTAAACTTTGAATTGAAATTCGTTAAAACATATTATATTATTCTGAATAACACAAATAAGTATCACCTAGTATTTGATGAAAAATACTGTCTAAGGCCCTGAAATAAACATGTTCAGAGGTGATTATTTATTTTAAAGGCTAGTTAGTTTAGATAATGTGAACTCTTCAATTCTTTCATCATTGAACATCGAAATTTGAATTTCAGTTTTAGTGCAGAATAAAACAATGATTACAAATTTAATTTAACTCATAACATTCAATTTTCGCTTACCATTAATTTTAAACGCACCCCTGCTTCGGGTGCCGTCGTTTTTTAAAATATCATAGAAACTGAGGAAATATAATGATTCTTTGGGAATAATAATAATACTGATGATGATAACAGTTTTCGACAGTGAACGAGATGATCACAACTCTGTCATAGAGTTGGAACCTGTTCAGCAAAAGGTCCATATAAAAGCGGCAGAGATCACTTCACTTCTGCTCCAGCACAAGGATAGGCCAATGCATGGGATCTCCTTCAGCAACATTGAAGACCTTGGCTTATCAAAGCGTCGGACCTTCGCTTTTCTCAGGTCGAATGGGCTGAAGTAGGAAACTGGGGGGTTTATCATGGCTTGCCAGGATGGTGTCTTCAACACTTTAGTCTTCCGCAGTCGCGTGATGGTATAGAGGTTCCTGACACAAAGTGCAGGACCTGCCGCGAGGCGTCTGAGACCCTAATGCATTCGCTGTCAGCATGACTAGTATAAACGGTCTCAGCCTAAATCCATCGACATGAAGTGGCCCTAAGAGTGCTTTATTACCATCTACGGCACTCTCTTACGGTATTGAAGTGACATCAGTGTTGCCCTACGCTCCAAGGGGTATTGAATCCATTGTGGGGAACGAGAAGCGTCGAATTTATTAGAAATATTCGTTTCCCACCCTCAGGCTCATACAAGCTGATAACCCTGACGTAATCCTTCTCGACCACCAGAGCAAAACGATATTTTTCGTAGAGTTAACAGCTTCTGCGAGACAAATATATCATCCGATAAGAGCTGGAAAACGGATAAAATACCGACGTTTTCTCTTCGAACTCCACAGACTCTATCCAGACCACTCTGTCAGAACGGTTATTTTGGTCATTGAACTCCTTGGTGAAGTGATGCCCTCCCTACTCTCGAATCTCAAAATCATGCAGGCTTGACGCATTAATGCAGAAATCTCAGCAGAACAAATGCATAAGGCTCCCGTGGGTTGGGCTACATATCGGGCGCGTCCCCAGGTGGCGGATAGGGGAACGGCCAGGAGACTGGAGGCCCGGTCCGGGAAGCCAATGTGGCCTTTCGAACGGGGTCGCCGGATTCCTGGTCAGTGGCAGAAAATTGTAGGATGAGGAGAACTAAAACCCCCCAAAAGCCTTTGCAAAACATGCCACCGTGGACCAGTCTACCCAAGCTAAGGTGTAAGAAATCGTGCCAACAGCTGAATGGCCGCAGGGTGATATGCGGTCACGAACGATCCCCTTGGGGAACTGGGCGAAACCTCCTTGTAATCAGCCTAACTTTGGTAATGCGGGGCTCTGCCAGAAGCGACCAACTCTTCTCTTGCTACTCGTGGGAACACACATGAATGAAACAACACAAAAACAGAAACAACAAAAACCAAACCCGAGGCTGGACAGAAGTGCTCACCTCAATCTAAGGCGGTGGCTGGGGATGAACAGAAATGTCCATCCCAATTTACCGCTTGGAATGAAGCTGGACATAGCAGATCACCTCCAACAGCAAGGGCACTTCCTGCGGCGGGCGCCAAGAGCCCCTGCAGAAGAGCTCCCTCACTTGTGCACGCACCTTCACGGAGGGAACCTCAAGAAGGTTGAAGAAGCCGCGCAACGACAGTATTAACGCTGCACCTTCCAAAACCTTCGCGGATGCCACCGTGAGACACCTCAAAGTTGCCAAAGAGAGTGTGTGTTCAGCGAGTCTTGGCCTACACCTACCAATAAAAAGGAAGTGTCTTCTAGTGACCTGTTCACCTTCCTGGAAAGGACAGGATGGTGACCTAGGAGGACAACTCCTCGGGAGGATGTACAATGGGTCACATGTGGCCTAAGTGCTGTGAGTCTACACTCATCCTCCCTACTCTACAGATACCATATACCAGATGCAGAAGACTGTCATTCTTGGCTCACTGCACTTACTCAAAGCACATGATTCCCGCACCCAATGATCAGTTACCTCACGGTGTAGAAAGCGGTAGTTGGTTGATAATGCTGGCCCGCTTTCCTGAATGTATTGGGCCTTCGTGGGATAGGGCCTAACCAGCGCAATATGATGATGAAACATCGAGATTTTCCCTTCGAACTGCGCTGACCACTCTGTTAAGATAGTTATTCTAATTATATATCGAAGTCCTTGATGGAATTATGCTCTCCCTACTCTCGAATGTCAAGATAATGCCAGCTTGCCGCACTAAGGCAGAAATCTTCGCCGGACAAATTCAGAAGGCTGTTACTTTCGACTCATTGTACCTGCATGATTCTCGGACG